GGCAATGAGTCTATGTGCCAAGTTTCAGTTTGATGTCCAGACGGATAGTGGGGCAGTTAACTATCCGAAGATTTTGTCACCCAGTCAGCCACAATCCAAAGCAAAGTTAATATAAAGGATTTTAAAAGTGGATAACCCTTGTATTGGATAAATGTAAGCATCCCAGAACAAACCAATTAATGGCACAATCAACCAATCAAAAACCTTGTATGGCTCAAACGTAATGAATTAATATTTATTAACTAGTTATCGTTGTAGCACATAATTATATTACATTACTGTAGTATATACTGTTAAATTACATCATTGTAGTAGTGCACTGTAACCAGTGGTGCAGAAAAAGGGGGGGGAGGCTGCCTATTGTGCCAACTGCTGAGGTTTTTTTATGGAGGGGGGAGGCAGCAAAAATTCTTTGCCTGCATCGGGCAGCACTAACCATCGCTACACCAACGGCTGTAACAGTACATTATTGTAGAATTAGTAGAACAACTGTAGTATTCCATAAATGTAGAAGTGCATTTAATGTTACATCATTCCAGTGTTAGTAGAGCATTGTGTCATTAAGGCAGCCTTGCAGTGAAATGCAGTTTACGAGGAGTAACATTCAATAGATTATAGTCATGTGGATCTGTAGAAGCTGCTAGAAAGTAATAGATGAAAAAGCAAAACAAGGTATGTCAAGGCTTCAATCAAACGACAGGACAATAAGATGTTTCAGTCACACAGCTTGAATTTGCAGTCCCTCAATTGTTATCTAGAAACTAGTAGACATAACATNACTGACCTAACATTACCTATTCTTGTCCATTACCAAGCCAAAAACCCACTTCATATATAGATATCTGGTGAACATACCAAGAGCTGACTTCAGACACAGATATCTGCTAACATGTAGTATTTCATTTCCTACTAGGAAGAAAAAAAGAAATGAACTTTTTTTTTATGTGTTTATAAAAAATAATTTCTATATTTGAAAAGTTATTAAAATGTTTGCTCAAGCTAATTGGCATTTAACCTACAAAATAATAATAAGAAATGATGTTTTAATTGTGTCCCAAAAATTTGTGATAGACAATTGTACCCACAAATTTGATTTACTGATTTTGCCAAATAAATAACTTAATTATTATTTTTAAAATTTTATTTTTTACAAAAGATTTTTTTGTTTAATTAATGAAAACAAAATAATTAAAGCAGAACTTTAAATTAATTGTAGCATTAAAACATAATTTAACAACCCTTGAAAACATATTTATGAACTATCCTTTATAAAATTTAATATCGAGCAGAGGAGGCTGGGGTTAAAAATTGGACAAAACACACATGCAAGTGTCTCAATTAGTGCTGCCCCTCTCAAGGCTTGCAACCGCACATTTTTTTCAGGCCACTGAAAGATATTAATAATATTCTAATGACCCACCTGCTTTTACACTGAAGATTTATCTCACCAAAAATTGTAGAAAAACAAAAGAAAATATTACGCACCAAACACACTTGCAATATTTTTCAAGAAAGAATCTCATTTAGGCAGTTATCTGGAATTATATTTTATTTCCCTCTTAAAAAACTGATTTTGAGGGTTGGGGTTGGAGAGTAAGACTGAAAATTTGAAAGAATTTATTGTCACCGGCAATGAGTCTATGTGCCAAGTTTCAGTTTGATGTCCAGACGGATAGTGGGGCAGTTAACTATCCGAAGATTTTGTCACCCAGTCAGCCACAAACCAAAGCAAAGTTAATATAAAGGATTTTAAAAGTGGATAACCCTTGTATTGGATAAATGTAAGCATCCCAGAACAAACCAATTAATGGCACAATCAACCAATCAAAAACCTTGTATGGCTCAAACGTTAGTGAGAACAAAATAATCCATACCACTTACCATGATGGTTAACTTGACACATGTAGACAAGACTCCACTTCAAGACTCATATTCTGTGTTCATATCTTATTATCCATTCCTTGCGTCATTTATGGCAAACATTTGGTTGCTCAATACTCAATGATCTCCAGGTTAAACATCGTTATTACTGCAGTGAATTGAATTGAAACCCTAGATTCTCAATGGTTGACCACTCTTGAGCTTATAGAACATTTTCAGCATTAATGGCTTCATAATTACATTCATTGTCATTTATAGACAAGTAGATAATTAACTTTTACAAGTTATTTGTCCATGTTGTCAACATTTAAACGCAAACGCTTCTCTTGGTGTTGAATTCAAAGGTACTGTATAAAAAACTTAATAATCTCAATAACAAAGAAGAAATAATTAAAATAAAGTGAAAATAAAAAGGCAAAAGACAGAAAAACATGAATTAATATTTATTAACTAGTTATCGTTGTAGCACATAATTATATTACATTACTGTAGTATATACTGTTAAATTACATCATTGTAGTAGTGCACTGTAACCAGTGGTGCAGAAAAAGGGGGGGGGAGGCTGCCTATTGTGCCAACTGCTGAGGTTTTTTTATGGAGGGGGGAGGCAGCAAAAATTCTTTGCCTGCATCGGGCAGCACTAACCATCGCTACACCAACGGCTGTAACAGTACATTATTGTAGAATTAGTAGAACAACTGTAGTATTCCATAAATGTAGAAGTGCATTTAATGTTACATCATTCCAGTGTTAGTAGAGCATTGTGTCATTAAGGCAGCCTTGCAGTGAAATGCAGTTTACGAGGAGTAACATTCAATAGATTATAGTCATGTGGATCTGTAGAAGCTGCTAGAAAGTAATAGATGAAAAAGCAAAACAAGGTATGTCAAGGCTTCAATCAAACGACAGGACAATAAGATGTTTCAGTCACACAGCTTGAATTTGCAGTCCCTCAATTGTTATCTAGAAACTAGTAGACATAACATTTGCCGTGGTAAATCCGTATCCCCCTCACTTAGGGTGTGATAAGTGGAGTGACATGAATTTTATGAACTACCGTTTATACTTGCTTAGTGTTTGTAACTTAGTGTCAACCTGTAGTTATTTGAAAGTTGAATCTCAGTACAGTTCAAATTATAACACAAAGGATGAAGACAGATAACACAAAATATTAACCTAAAAAGTTGGAGTTTTCACATTTGACCAAACTTTAACTACACCACTAGTTTTAAACCATTTACCTAATGACACACTGAGGTGTCTAATGACACACCGATGTGCCTGATGGCAAACTGATGTTCCTAATGACACACTAATGTGCCCAATGACACACGGATGTGTCTAATGACACACTGATGTGCCTAATGACACACTGATGTGCCTAATGACACACTGATGTGTCTAATGACACACTGATGCGTCCCAACAGTTTTACACATGTGTTGGAAGCTTTTGACATGATGGAATAAAAGTGAATTTTAAAAAAGAAAAAATGTTGACCGGGTAATTAGCAAATGAAGTTTAGAGTAATCTAAGTAAGAAGGCAGTTATAGAATCCATCTCATTGAACTCTGCTTGTCACTGTAAGTTTGACACTGCTACTCACGCTACTCAATGAAACAGATGGACTCTACTACTCACTGAAACAGACATTTTTCTTTGTACTTGAATGGAGTCTTTCATGATTTTATTCATAAAATATATTGTGTTATAAGACTGAATAGCTCCCCGCTGGGCTGTGATCTAATGAACAATGACTAGCACCACTGAGCACATCCAAACAAGGGAAAATATTTATTATTTAGGTATACAACTCTTCTGTAAAGTAAAAAGTGATATGCCAAAATTTAGACTTGTATATTTATCAAATGTTCTTATCTGCAAAAGCTAGAAGCTCTAAATGAATCAATTAATGAGCAAATGAAACAAAAAAATAATTATATTTATATGCGTCTGATCACAATGCATGCAAATGTCTTAAAGTAAAGTGACATGGTAGAAACCTATTGTAACATCTATGGTCATGTCTGCTTTCACTATCCAACAATGTTTTTTGCCAATGTCCAACATTTGGTCATGTCTTCGGTCAATTCCAACATTTGGTTATGCCTTTTGTCAATGCCCAACATTTGGTCACATCTTCTGTCAATGTCCAAAATTTGCTCACATCTTCTGTCAATGCCCAAAATTTGCTCACATCTTGTCAATGCCCAACATTTGGTCACATCTTCTGTCAATGTCCGAAATTTGCTCACATCTTCTGTCAATGCCCAAAATTTGCTCACATCTTCTGTCAATGTCAAAAATTTGGTCACATCTTCTGTCTATGTCCAACATTTGGTCACATCTTCTGTCAATGTCCAAAATTTGGTCACATCTTCTGTCAATGCCCAACATTTGGCCACATCTTCTGTCAATGCCCAACATTTGGTCACATCCTCTGTCTATGTCCAACATTTGGTCACATCTTCTGTCTATGTCCAACGTTTGGTCACATCTTCTGTCAATGCCCAAAATTTGCTCACGTCTTCTGTCAATGCCCAACAATGAAAAACTTATCAGCATCACTACAAAAAAAATCAAGCCAGTTTATTGACCAAGTTTTATCAGTCATCTCAGCAGCTTGTTTCATGACTAAATGCATTTATGGCACAGAGTCTTGTTTATCTTTAGATTTTATAAAGAAAAAATGGCTGCTTACGCAGGACTATAATCATAGTGGTTCTTGAGCTGACATGTGCAAAGCTATTTTGATCTGTATCAGTTCACTTTGTGCAAGTGTTCCATGAGGAATAAAATTTTATAACAGTTATAATGATGATCATATATAAGAGTTCAAAGACAACTGTCCAATAAACCCATTATTATGAGGACCACTGTCCAATAACCCATTGTTATCAGGACCACTGTCCACCAAGTCCTTTTTATGAGGACCACTGTTCAATAAACTCGCCAACAACTACAAAAAAACATTTCCAGGGCGATTAGCAATTTCAGTTTTATTACTTTCACTTACACATATAAATTATCAGAATAACATAATTGTAACCTTTCAATGACCTATAAATAGAAACAATATTATTTTATAGATTTGTCAGCACCGATGGATCCATTTGAGTCCCAGGTCTCTCAGAAGAACCCATCATATAGTCACAATCTTGGGCTGCCACATCAAGCCTCTGTTCAATGACTGGCTTAAGTACAGAGGTTGTGTAATCTGCATTAGTCTGTGTGGCAAGCAGGGGGGAATATGATGATGGCTGGCCAGCGGACGGCCCTGTCCTCATTGTGTCATAAGCGGCAGTTGGCGCTGGCAGAGTTGCACCGCCACCACAAGGTGCATGTGTGGATAGATTTGAGTGATGCTGCGGTGGAACTTGTGCAGTCAGGTGAGACTGTGATGGGGGAAGTCCTGAATGGCAGGGTGCGTTCCTGCCCCTTGCAATATTTGGATAATGAATTGAAGGCTGGGATGAAAGCTCTGAAGGAAACTGACCACTCCCAGGCAAAGAAACGTGATCTTGTGGAATTGAGGCAGGAATTAGTCCATGTCTCATTGAGGTAGATACGCCGTGGGTCGTGGGAATGGGTGCTGCGGAATGTAGGCTCTGTGGTTGCCTGAATCTTGGAGAAATCAAGTTCGGGAAGGAGCCACTTGGCTGGCGGCTTCTTGGTAATGGTGGACTCTGAATTGGGTTGTAGGGCTGAGGGCTACAAATTGGCGCAGGATGTCTGGTGTTGTACGGGGGGAACTGTGCCGACGGAAGTGGACTTTGCAGAGGTGTGGTCGGGTGAGGGCTTGGAATAGGGGAGCTGAGAGCTGGAAGTCCACCAGGAGCCGATGAACCAGACGCATTGTTCTTATCAGCTTCTGGTATTACATAGACATGCACCAAATTCCCTGATGAGGACTCCTCTTGCACCAGAAGGATCTGAATGCCCACCGGGTTCCCTGGGATGCCCAATTGAGGGGCTATTTGGGGCACCATTGATGAAGGTATGATGATACCCTGGACTGGGCTCTGCACACCTTCCATCTCTATCTGGACCCGGGACGAACCAGGGATGGCACTCAATGTGTTTGTGTGGAAGCTTGGCCCCCCATGGGTTCCTTGGTTGTTTGGAGCAACACGTTGACTGTTGACAATTTGTTCTACGGACTGCATGATGTTCTTTCCTGGCGTTCCCCTGACTCTGGGGGCCTCAGGCTCACGGCCAACTTGTACTTGCTTGGGGGGTAAAGAATTTCTCGATCTCTGCTCCGGTCCGACTGCTTTATTTCGCTGGTCCGGAGCCAACAGTTCTCCCTTCTTTATGCGTTTGATGACTGGGATGCGAGAAGTCTCATCATTTTCATCCATGTTGTCATCATTCTCCCTGAGAAATAAAAGTCATCCAAATTTAAAGCACATTCATTAGGCAAAGCTTGTGTACTCAGTTATGATGGCAAATAAGCAGCTTGAAAAAAATTTATCACACTATTCAACTGCAGTTGAGCACCATAATCTTAGTCACCAACACTTTAGATTTGGAGTCAAGGAATGAAACGTATAATGCAGGACATATTTTTTCTTTCTTCTGAAGCTTGCAGAACCCAAAGTTTTGAGTGAGA